ACATACAGACATACAGACATACAGACATACAGACATACATACAGACCTACAGACATACAGACAGACATACAGACATACATACAGACATACAGACATACAGGCATACATACAGACATACATACAGACATACAGACATACAGACATACAGACATACAGACATACATACAGACCTACAGACATACAGACATACAGACATACAGACAGACATACAGACATACAGACATACATACAGACCTACAGACATACAGACAGACATACAGACATACATACAGACATACAGACATACAGACAGACATACAGACATACATACAGACATACAGACAGACATACAGACATACAGACATGCAGACATACATACAGACATACAGACATACATACAGACATACAGACATACAGACATACATACAGACATACAGACATACATACAGACATACAGACATACAGACATACAGACATACAGACATACAGACCTACAGACCTACAGACATACAGACAGACATACAGACATACATACAGACCTACAGACATACAGACAGACATACAGACATACATACAGACCTACAGACATACAGACATACATACAGACATACAGACATACATACAGACATACAGACATACATACATACATACAGACATACAGACATACAGACATACAGACATACATACAGACATACAGACATACATACAGACATACAGACATACAGACATACATGCATACATACAGACAGCCTGTAGGCCTCACCTCCCACGGCTGCCTCGCTCTCCGATACGGGGCCGGCCATGGGATCCATGGGATCTCAGCCCGGGGAGCCCGGTGAATCGGGCGCCGCGTGATGCAGTTGGGGACGCTATAACCATAGGAAAACCATAGGAAAACCATAGGAAAATGGTGATTTAACCAAGAAAAATGGGGTTTCAATGGGATTTATAGATTGATTTATGATAGTGGATTCGTTGGTATCCATCTTCCCCACAAGAAATGGGAAATCAAGAAGCTATGAATTTCCCAACCACATGATAGATTAGAAAAATCGGACTCCCAAGATACCCTCTGGTAAACTAACAGTTTGCTATTGAAAATCAACATATTCTTAATAGGTAAATCAGCGAACTAGATGGTCATTTTCAATAGCTATGTTAAATTACCAGAGGGTACTATGGATTATTGGATTATAATGAGATATCCCGAACCCCGATTATAATGGGAATTCACCGTTTTTTCCGTTGAATATTCTATGGGATAACCCATAGGATCCATGTATGGTATATATATATATATGCTAACATGACTGGGGTATATTGATGTGATCCATGGCACACCATATATAGCAGCACCATGGATCCGTCATGGGATAATGAATGGGATTTCAGGCTAACCCACCTAATGGGATGCAGGACTAGGGATAAGGCCTTGGGATTTATCTGGGTAAATTTTATCACGACCGAAGCCTGTTCTCCCGAAGCCTGGAATCATGGTTAGGATTCGGGGAATCATCCCACAATGGCCCAAGATTTCAGGTTAGTGAATCATTATAATTTGCCCAGATATATGATATTACTACCATTTACTACCAATATGTAGTGATTGAACCAAAGAATAGTTCATTTCCCTTTGGTAAACTAAAATGTTGTGCAAATCACCATTTTGAATAGGTGAATCAACGAACTAAATGTAGTATTTTCAACAGCTATGTTAAATTACCAGAGGGTAGGGTTTCCGAAGTCATGGGGGTACCCATTTTTAACCATGGATATCAAGACTAACATGGTAAAATAGTTTGGATGATTTGGGGTACCCCCTAGGACTAGGAAACCTCCAAATGGCTACAACTATGGGGATTCGAAGATCAGTTGGGAAAATTGGGGCCACCAAAAAGCGATATTGAAATCCTAAGGAACTCAGGTCGTAGTGGAACTGTATCCCAAGGTACAGGTAAAAAATGTTTTATCAACATGGCAATGGCACATCAACCATGTATCAGGATTTTGCCAGCTAAAAACATCATTTTGTTTGAGGATTTCTGATTGCCACGTTAATAGGGGTGGTACACCTAGTGCACAGAATGCAACCTGATAGGTGGATTGAGGGTGAGGGTTGTTCTGACTTGTCATGGGTCAGGACGGGAGCCAGTCCCATTGACGACGATTGGATCTCCATACTAAAGGCGAAAGCACGTGACCATACACTGCTGAGTGGCCCCGGCCAAAGGAAACCCAGACAGCATCCTCCCAAAAACGCTGTTCTCAAGCGCAGCTTGAGACGTGTGATAAACCGTGCCAATGCAGTTGGATGTGCATGGTACCAGGGCCGTTGCTTCACACCCCAGCAGCTGCCTGCTGCCAAGCATCCGACCATCCCTCAAAGTCATATCCCCAAGCATGCCAGACCTGTCCAACGGTTTGCTCCCCGACACAGGCTCCAGCTAGGACACTACAATGTAGGAGGCCTTGCTCAGGACAGACTCATGGAAATCAAGTTGTGGGCCAGTGCTGCTGAACTCGACCTTCTAATTTTAACAGAGACCAGATGGAGCTTCGACTCAGAATGGCAGGACCCGGAATGGTTTCACATTCACACAGGCACCACAGAAGATCGAGCCGATGGCATCTTGTTTCTGATTAGGACAGCATTTTCCCACAAAACTAGGTCAATCTTACATAGATACTTTAATCCTTTAGTCTTTTGGTATCAATGGGAATATCTACTAACCAGCAAAGATTTTTTTTGCAGGGTATCTAAGATTGGCAATGTAAAGTAAAATGCACTGACAGAGCCATGAACGGCGTGAGTAGGTTCGAGCTTCTGCCAAATGATGGCATCCTCCACAGTGGATTTGAGTCACAAAGCAGATAGGCAATGCACCTGAAATCACCTGCAATGTTTGATCAATCTTGTTGTGCGTGTAGTATTGTTTTCAGTGGTTCAGAGCCGTTCTTGGATGATTGGATGATTTTTGTGAACACATAACCATTGACAAGCCAATATTAGTGATCCATCAACAAACATGTTGCATCATTTTAAGTGTATTGCACGTTTATTCTTTGGGTGTTGTTTAGCCATATTAACTTTAATGATGAATTTCTGGTGTTCACCGTGTTCGCATCACAAAAACATGACGTCTACTCTTGGCGGAGAATCAGCAAACCGCAACGTTTTTTCGCGTTGATTCATTGCTATGCCTCTATTTTCTGCTGGATTCCATTGAAAAAAACATTTCTTGATGGGCTATCCATTATCTCTGACAACAGACGGCAAGCTAGGTTGTTCATAACTAACATTTTCAAACTACAATCGCTGATGGATTCTTTATGACTACAACATATGTTGTTCATTAATTTGTTCCATGAATTATCTATGTTGATATACTTAGTGGATCTTAGTGGATATATATATATATATATAGATATACTTAGTGGATATATATATATATAGAGTTATACAATGTTATACAACGAATCTTATAAGATTAGTTGAATATTAACGAGTCAACCAGCCCCGATTTTCCTGGATTTGATGCATTGGATGAACCGAGGTCTCCCGAGCTGCACCAAGAGGAAGAACCTCGCGAGCCGCGGGTGACGAGGGGCGCCGAAGCGATGCCGATTCTACGGTTATGATATACTAGTGTATATTATGTGTGTGTATATATATATATATATGTATATATCGCTGGGTAAATTATAACGACCTCACTGCGACCGAACCCTGGAATCATGGTTAGTAAAGGGAATCATCCCCAAATGGCCTTAATTCAGGTTAGTGAATTATTATAATTTGCCCAGATATATATACACAGTATATAATTATATATATAATTATATGGGAACTGGTTTGTTTATATGCTTCCAATATGTACATGTATACATAAATATGGTAGTGCCACAAAGTATATATTATGTATATGTATAATATGATTATTATGTATATGTATATATGTATATATATGGGAACTGTGGAATAATAAGCGTGCCCCCTGGAACTGGTTTGTTTATATGCTTCCAACATTTACATGTATACATAAATATGGTAGTGCCACAAAGTATATATTATGTATGTGTATAATATTATGTATTTGTTTTGATATATATATATATATATGTATGTATATTGATATATATATTATCACCCAGATACAACTATAAACCATTAATCATCATTCATCTAGCAGGTAGAGATCACCCAGATATAACTATAACACCTATATATCCCATTAATCTAACAGGTAGAGAGGGAAAAGGGAAAGATGGAGGACGCTTACCACTCTTCAGCTACAGTCACCTAACCGATTTTCGACAAGGACGTTACATGTGTGACAGGTTTGTTGCCTATGACTTTGGCTTTGCCGATAATGACATGTGTTTTCATCTTTTGGTGACTAGACATGTTAAAATCCTAGTTGTTCTTGATAGAAATATGAGCTCACAGCAAGTAATGTGCGTGATGTTCATCCCATTTTTGATGACCAAGATCCCATTTCTTTACCCATCCTCGTGTTTGTTGGTTAGGACATCGTCGTGTTCAATGTTAAAACTGGTCAACAATCCATCTCTAACCTCTAACTCCCACAGTTTGTGGATTGAATCATGGCCTAGTCACCCAAGTGACCTGTCCCAGGGGCCTTTTCTCGGCAAACTCTCATGGTTTCTTGACACCAATTTTCTTCAAACATAACTGGCTGGTGGTTTGGAACTTTTTTTTCCATATATTGGGAATAATAATCCCAACTGACTCATATTTTTCAGAGGGGTTGAAACCACCAACCAGATAAGTTACGAATAGTTTCGATGTTTGCTGCTTGAACTCCTAAAAGAATTATGGGTGAAGTCTTTACTCTGGATCTGGCATGTTTGCTGGAAACATATCTCCGTGTTCGTTTGGCGGGTTCGTTGGAAGTTAGATCATGTATTCTCAAAATTTGTTAGCTACATTTGATCACAATTTTCTCCATCAAAATCACAATTTGGATCCATTTGTGGTTACCCTGGCACACGGTATACCCGGTACCACATTTTCAGACTCAAATATACTACTGTAAGTTGGTTTAATGTTAGATATAGTTGTATGATATTCCCATTAAAGCAATTAAATTAGTTGGTGGTTTCCAACATTAACCATCATTAACCATATATTAACCATATATTAACCATATATTAACCATATATTAACCATATATTAACAGTAAAGGGACAGTTTTTATACACCAACCAGATTAGATCGTCTTTAAATCCCATGTCCCATGAAATCTCCACAGGCTCCAGCCGCTACGCCGAAGAGTGCAGAGATAGCAGGCCGGCGCCGTTGTCGAGTCTGTGGAGGATATGGCAAAAACTCTTAAAAAGAAGGAACTAGGAAAAACAATGATGATTTAACCAGCAAGGTTATAGATGGTATAGGGATTTGCTAATAGCTAAGTCGGGTTTAGAACTCCAAGTGAAAACTACCATTGGTTTATATTACTTTTACTATAGTCAATGGGGTCTATAAACCAACGAATATATCTGTGGGGGCCTCGCATTGTATAGATAGCCCATTTAGTTTCATGGTCTACCCATTAAACATGCTGGTCATAGATACTTTGAGCACTTTTCATCGCAACCAAACAGAATTTGATACAACCTCATTGAAATCGTAATTACTTCCTTTTCTATCTTCTTGAGGGTTACTATCACATGTATTGACACAACAATTCATCGCAAGCAGTCTTGATTGGCAAATGTCCCTCATGTTCAATGCGAAACTTGTATATCCTGCAACATCTGCAACCATGTTTGTCTGAAGGGGAAAACTTATACGTCCTAAATCTGATTCTAGCCAACCCATCAAAACCATGCCATAGAAACGACCAAATGCGTAGATTTGAAATCACCAAGATGGGGAGTCTTTGATCAACATGATATGCCTCCTACTTTGGGATGTTAAGCCTGTTAAGCAAAGAAAATTGAGCAGATCAAGATCCCCAAAACTGAAACAAGACGAAGATGCTGTGAGTGGATGTTGGCCAAGGACCAAAGACACTGTAACAAATTATGCTGGCGATGGTGGCCTCAGTTAGCATGATCATCTTTGTTTTTAACTAATTCCATCCCCTAAAATGAAACCATATGAAACCTCTGTTTTTTTCCGCGAGGCACAGTGCTGCAGGTTCGCTATGGAAAAGAGACGTCCCTATGTTGTGAAGTGGGATTCGATGGTGGAGCCGATCGCTCGCCATCTACGTGACAGGAAGTTGCGAGTGGCAGACCTCGACGAGCAGCAGAAGAAGCAGTTGTTTGACGGCTTGCTGCTTCTTCTGGCCGTTCCCTGATGAACGGCTGCAGGTGGCACTGCTGACGACGACCTGCACCAGACGTTGTGTTAATGCAAGAATTTCTGTCCTGTTTTGATTCAGTTATCTGCAGCACATGAGTTCTGTGTGAACTACAGTTCCAATGTTTGGAAGCCCGAAAAATATCAACAACATTCAACAACTCATTCAACTCAGTAGATCTTCAATAGATCTATAGTCTAGCCATTCCGATCACCCAATCAGCCCGCCCAACTCGACGTTGGATCAGCCCCGGCAGGAGAGCTTCTACGAAAGAAGGTGAAGTCCCCGATCTTGTCAGTCCTGACCTGAGTCGGGACTTGCGGCAGGTGATGGAGGGAACTCTAATTTCACTATGCTTTATGATACTTACGACAACATAACATTTTTCGCATCTTAAAACATATTATAACTATTACTATTATTATTATTACTACTACTACTACTAATCTACTACTAATCTACTACTAATCTACTACTAATCTACTACTACTAATCTACTACTACTAATCTACTACTACTACTACTATTATTACTACCACTACGACTACGCCTACGCCTACGCCTACGCCTACGACTACTACTACCACTACCACTACCACTACTACTACTACTACTACCACTACCACTACCACTACCACTACCACTACTACTACTACTACTACTACTACTAATCTACTACTACTAATCTACTACTACTAATCTACTACTACTAATCTACTACTACTAATCTACTACTACTAATCTACTACTACTAATCTACTACTACTAATCTACTACTACTACTACTATTACTACTACTACTACTACTACTACTACTACTACCACTACCACTACCACTACCACTACCACTACCACTACCACTACCACTACTACTACTACTACTACTACTAATCTACTACTACTAATCTACTACTACTAATCTACTACTACTAATCTACTACTACTAATCTACTACTACTAATCTACTACTACTAATCTACTACTACTAATCTACTAATCTACTACTACTACTACTACTGCTACTGCTACTACTACTACTACTGCTACTGCTACTTACTTCTACTACTACTACTACTACTATTACTACTACTACTACTACTACTGCTGCTACTGCTACTATTACTACTACTATTACTACTACTACTACTACTACTACTACTACTACTACTACGACTACTACTACTACTTTTCTTCTTCTACTACTACAACTACATTTTGATCCTTATTTGTTTTTTTTGATCCCTTATTTTTTGTTTTTTTTGATCCTTATTCCCCACCTGCCAGGTGAGGGTTGTTAGATTTTATGTCAGTTGCTTGCTCCTCCTCCTCCTCCTTCTCCTCCTCCTCCTCTCCTCGTCTCCTCTCCTCGTCTCCTCTCCTCGTCTCCTCTCCTCCTGCTCCCTGCCGGACCTCAACCACGACCATCCACGCCCAGTGTGCCCTGCCGGACCTCAACCACGACCATCACCGCCCAGTGTTCCCTGCCGGACCTCAACCGCGAGTATCCACGCCCAGTGTTCCCTGCCGGACCTCAACCACGACCATCCCCGCCCAGTGTTCCCTGCCGGACCTCAACCACGACCATCCACGCCCAGTGTTCCCTGCCGGACCTCAACCGCGAGTATCCACGCCAAGTGTTCCCTGCCGGACCTCATGTAGGAAGATAAAATGTCAGATAGAGTGCCAGAAGATTTGCCAGGTAGAATGCCAGAAAATATGCCAGATAGATATGTCAGATAGAATGCCAGAAGATATGCCAGATAGAATGCCAGAAGATTTGCCAGATAGAATGCCAGAAGATATGCCAGATAGAATGCCAGAAGATATGTCAGATAGAATGCCAGAAGATTTGTCAGATAGAATGCCAGAAGATTTGCCAGATAGAATGCCAGAAGATATGTCAGATAGATTATATGCCAGAAGATATGCCAGATAGAATGCCAGATAGAATGCCAGAAGATATGTCAGATAGAATGCCAGGAGATTTGCCAGTAAGAGAATGTATAAATGTCATGGTGGGGATCACACGAAGTAAAGTAATTTGTTTTTTTGATCCTCTAGCCTCATTTGGGGGGTTCAACCCGGGTTTGACGGGGACTGTAGGGGACGTTCCTTGGATCAATCCTTGGGGCATCTACTTGAAACGCATCTTGCCGCATGGTTGTACTAACCAAACTTTGCCATCTACTCTGTACAAGAATCCCTAGGGGTTGTCATCAACCATTTTTTTATACAGCTGAAATCCTTAGGATTTGTTTGCTGCTTTCAGCGCTTCCATCTTTTGGTCGTGCTGACTCAGATGGAAACCGCTTTGAATTGACTTGACCAGGATTGCTTTTCTATAGAAATCAATGGGTGCTCGAAAGCAACGATCTGTGTGAAACGAGGGTTACCATATTGCATTCGTTTCTTCTCTAATTAGCTGCTAGATACAGAACCAGCCATTATTAGCCAGCCAAGGGATTCGTGACACACACACACATCGATGTGTCATCGTTGGGTTTTCATAAATGGTTGGTTTTCTACAGATTGGACACCCATGTGCAGACTACATGTCTTAGATTGCTGCATTACATGTACTTCGGGCACTTGCTGCCAGGCACGCTCCATGATTTTTGGAGCACACCATCAATCTGCGCGACAGGAAGTTGCGAGTGGCAGACCTCGACGAGCAGCAGAAGAAGCAGTTGTTTGACGGCTTGCTGCTTCTTCTGGCCGTTCCCTGATGAACGGCTGCAGGTGGCACCGCTGACGACGACCTGCACCAGACGTTGTGTTGATGCAAGAATTTCTGTCCTGTTTTGATTCAGTTATCTGCAGCACATGAGTTCTGTGTGAACTACAGTTCCAATGTTTGGAAGCCCGAAAAATATCAACAACATTCAACAACTCATTCAACTCAGTAGATCTTCAATAGATCTATAGTCTAGCCATTCCGATCGCTCGCCATCACCTGCCGCAAGTCCTGACTCAGGTCAGGACTGACAAGATTTTTATGATACTTACGACGACATAACATTTTTCGCATCTTATAAGTCTTATAACATATATTACAACATCTTATCACATCTTATAACTATAGTATTCGTGGTGTCCTTACGCTTTATAAACATGTATAAACTAATCTTACAAGTGGGGCCACATTGTGTGAACGTTTACACGGATATGGAAAACCCACCCATGCGTAAATTTCGGGACACCAGTGGCACCAGCCAGGTTTCCAAACCACCCGGCCATGACGATGTTGATGGTATTCCCGCGATTTACATCGGTAGTGACGTTTGGGTTTATATTCCTGGTCAATTATACACACATGATTGTTATAGGTACTGTATAATACTGTAGATTCCACACATGACCAAACATATTTAACGATGAATGGTATAGTTGCTGTATAATACTGTAGATTCCACACATAATCACACATACTTAACTATGATTGTTATAGGTACTGTATAATACTGTAGATTCCACACATGATCAAACATATTTAACGATGATTGGTATAGTTACTGTATAATACTGTAGATTCCTCACATGATCAAACATATTTAACTATGATTGTTATAGGTACTGTATAATACTGTAAATTCCACACATGATCAAACGTATTTAACTATGATTGTTATAGTTACTGTATAATACTGTAAATTCCACACATGATCAAACATATTTAACCATGAATGTTATAGTTACTGTATAATACTATAGTTTCGGCATATGATCAACCATATTTAACTATGATTGTTATAGGTACTGTATAATACTGTAAATTCCACACATGATCAAACGTATTTAACTATGATTGTTATAGTTACTGTATAATACTATCAATTCCACACATGATCAAACATATTTAACTATGATTGGTATAGTTACTGTATAATATTGTAGATTCCATACATGATCAAACATATTTAACTATGATTCTTATAGGTACTGTATAAAACTGTAGATTCCACACATGACCAAACATATTTAACGATGATTGGTATAGTTACTGTATAGTACTGTAGATTCCACGCATGATCACACATACTTAACTATGATTGTTATAGGTACTGTACAATACTGTAGATTCCACACATGATCAAACATATTTAAGGATGATTGGTATAGTTACTGTATAATACTGTAGATTCCACACATGATCAAACATATTTAACCATGATTGTTATAGGTACTGTATAATACTGTAAATTCCACACATGATCAAACGTATTTAACTATGATTGTTATAGTTACTGTATAATACTGTAAATTCCACACATGATCACACATACTTAACTATGATTGTTATAGGTACTGTATAATACTGTAGATTCCACACATGATCAAACATATTTAACGATGATTGTTATAGTTATTGTATAATACTGTAGGTTCCGCACATGATCAATCATATTTAACTATGATTGTTATAGTCACTGTATGTTTTAGATATGTTTAGTATGTGTATACATGTCAGTGATTGTACGTGCCTTGTTACTGTTTAAAACCACAGTTGTCATTTTCCGTCGATTGATTGGATTGGTACTTGTACCAATGCCAGGGGTGGACTACCCGACTAGGTAATCAACCATGGCAATGGAAGATATCCCATGGCAATGGAAGATTTTCCCCATTAAAACCTCTATATCGATTTAGGGGATTTAGGGGATTGTTCAGTGCCATGTTGGATGGCTGACATTCCTTCAGCTTCCACGTGAGCCGTTTCCTAAGGATACACCTGATACGGCAAGTGTCATTAGTCGTGGGAGCAAAAAGGCCAGGGCTGTCACAGTGTGTGGAGGGAAGGGCGTTGAGTGCTGATCTCTGTCGATGTTTACAATCTAATTGAGATATAGGCATGAGATATCATGCAATGTATCTAACCAACAGTATTATATAATTTTATATATATATACAATAATGTCAAGTCAGGATTAATCAACACCCCGTTATTAATCAACCTCCTCCTCCCAAAAAACAATGCAATTTAAAAACAGGTGGTCCCCCAGGATTAATAAACCGTTTGGCTAGGACATGATTAATCAACCCGCTTTGCTGAAATACATTTTTTATCCAACAATTTTTATTTCCAATTCTATTTATTTCTAATTGTTTTTTACCTTTTTTTTAATCATCATTGTTATACTTAAGGTTTAAGTTGATCATTGAAAATTTCAAAAAACAACTATTCCCCAAATGATCGATTTCTAATTAAATTCTTTATAAAAATCATCAGTTTGGATAGCTCATGAGCCCATGTCCCCATTAATAATAATCAGGGTTTGCCCCTGATTAATCAACCACCATGTCCCTAATGTTTTTTCTCTGGATTTGCCTATTCATTCCCAATGTCCCCCATAGCTTTCAGCCAATTGACGTAAGCCATATCCAAAATTTTATGGTTCAGAGGCCGTTTATTAAGGGGTGCTTAAGGGGGGACCTACAAGGTAGAGTTCTGACCTTCTGTGGGGGGGTTATTAATCCAGTGTTGGCATTATATATATTTGATGATATTTGGATGTATCTGACAGATTCTGAAAGTGGTGCATTTATCCTCAAAGAATGCACTTTAAATGGGGAAAATGATGATAAACCGATAAACCATCAAATTTATTCAAATTTGGAGCCATTTCTTCAGTGAACGCATCGGAGTTCTTAACCCTATATGGGGATTGAAGCAGCAGCTGGCCGGTGGTTTCAGCAATTCATGTTCGCCCAATACCCTCCGGTGTCAGCAAACATGGTAATTGGAAATCCCCTAGCCAGCCATGATTTCAATGTGAGATGCCTTTTCCCTAGCCTATCAATGAAGGTTTAGTTCGCTGGGAAAATCAGCTAGAACTCAATGGATCCCAATGGGATGCGTGGCTTGGGAATCAGCTAACCATTGGCTAACCATGATGTACAATGTGGGGCCCCCGTTCGATAGCTAAGTTGGTGCAAATAACTACAATAACTATAGGGTTTATGATACTTAGAACTACAGTTAATGGGGTTTATAAACCAACTTAGAAGTAGGGGGCCCCACATTGTAGTGCCTTTCTGAGAAGCAGCATGTAAAAGCAAGAAGTGCGCCGTGCGGTTTGAGTATGATTGGGCCAGGGAACCCTTTAAAATTTGCCGCTGCAGCGCTTTATGTCACCGCGAAGCGACCGCCAAATCGCTGGAAGTTCACGGACCAGCAGTGGCAAGTCATACCTACCGTATCCTGTGGCACATCGACTTGCAAAACAACCACTTACCCATTGGAAGTGTTGATGATATTCGCAGCATTTTCATGCATTTTCCCTTATTGATTATGCTTGTGGTGGCTTCAGTTTCCCGTACATATCATGTTCCTGACGCGTGTGATCAGCTCTGATCATTAGTGCAAATGATATAATTTTGTGGGAATGGTAGGTGAGGTTTTGCCCTTGGAATCATAGGCTGTTCCTCTTTACGCATCTATACGCATTCATAAAACAGCCCAATATTGTTCAGGTGATCAAATGAATTTGAAACCCCTAAGATTCTTACTGCTTTGTTTACTTAATGACAGTATGTTCAATGTTCTGGCTGAATGATGTTTGAAGACTTCAAACGGATGAAATCAATTCCCAGAGATATGGTATTTCAGTATGTGTTCTATTTTGTTTTGGTTATTTTACCACAAAAACAGCAATCCCCTGAAACACCTCATGGACTCTTATAAGTTAATTACCATCTGGTTATTTAAGGGCTAACGCCCCCTGCCGCCGACCCCTGGAAAAGAACGCGAAGAAGCGGAGGACATCGTGACCGAGGACCGGATAGGGATCATTAGTCTCCTGCACAGGGAGCAGAGCCCTGAATAGGGGCCATATATATATATATAAACTCCTGAACAGGGAGGGCCTCGCAGAGAGGCATTTATGGGGAGATCTGGGGAGTAGTGTGGCATATAGTGTATGTGTCTGTGTGTGTGTGTGTGTGTGTGTGTGGGTGTGTATGTGGGCGTGTGTGTGTGTGTATGTGTGTGTGTGTGTGGGTGTGTGTGTGGGTGTGTATGTGGGCGTATGTGCGTGTGTGTCGGGAATGCAAAACCAGCCAATGGCAGGTGGCCAAGCCGCGTGAACCTGGCCCGTCCTAACGACGCGTTCGGAAACCCTTTGAAAAGTAGCTCTAGAAGCTGCCGGCTGCCACCTTTGCCGGGCGCATGCGAAACAGCGAAACAGCAGGGCCTGCTGGTCCCAACCGCGTGTCCCAAGGCCAGGCGCCACTGCCTAACGTTGCTTTCTGAAGCCCTTAGAAAACTAGCTCTGGAAGCTGCCGGCTGCCACTTTTGCCGGGCGCATGCGAAACAGCGAAACAGCAGGGCCCTGAGGGACGGACCGGGCCTCCGGGCAACGGCCTGCACTGCCTAACGTCACTTTCTGACCCTACAAGAAAATCTAGCTGTCTTCCAGCCGCCGCGGCTCACAAACGGCGCATCCGTTGCTTTCTGAAGCCCTTAGAAAAGTAGCTCTGGAAGCTATCGACTGCCACCTTTGCCGGGCGCATGCGAAACAGCGAAACAGCAGGGCCCTCAGGGACGGACCGGGCCTCCGGGCAACGGGCCCCAGTGCCTAACGTCACTTTCTGACCCTACAAGAAAATCTAACTGTCTTCCAGCCGCCACAGCTCACAAACGGCGCATCCGTTGCTTTCTGAAGCCCTTAGAAAAGTAGCTCTGGAAGCTGCCGACTGCCACCTTTGCCGGGCGCATGCGAAACAGCGAAACAGCAGGGCCCTGAGGGACGGACCGGGCCTCCGGCAACGGCCCCCTCCCTAACGTCACTTCTGACCTAACAAAATCTACTGTCTCCAGCCGCCGCAGCTCACAAACAATCCTTTGCTTTCTGAAGCCCTAGAAAAGTAGCTCTGAAGCTGCCGGCTGCCACCTTTGCCGGGCGCATGCGAAACAGCGAAACAGCAGGGCCTGCTGGTCCCAACCGCGTGTCCCAAGGCCAGGCGCCACTGCCTAACGTTGCTTTCTGAAGCCCTTAGAAAACTAGCTCTGGAAGCTGCCGGCTGCCACTTTTGCCGGGCGCATGCGAAACAGCGAAACAGCAGGGCCCTGAGGGACGGACCGGGCCTCCGGGCAACGGCCTGCACTGCCTAACGTCACTTTCTGACCCTACAAGAAAATCTAGCTGTCTTCCAGCCGCCGCGGCTCACAAACGGCGCATCCGTTGCTTTCTGAAGCCCTTAGAAAAGTAGCTCTGGAAGCTATCGACTGCCACCTTTGCCGGGCGCATGCGAAACAGCGAAACAGCAGGGCCCTCAGGGACGGACCGGGCCTCCGGGCAACGGGCCCCAGTGCCTAACGTCACTTTCTGACCCTACAAGAAAATCTAACTGTCTTCCAGCCGCCACAGCTCACAAACGGCGCATCCGTTGCTTTCTGAAGCCCTTAGAAAAGTAGCTCTGGAAGCTGCCGACTGCCACCTTTGCCGGGCGCATGCGAAACAGCGAAACAGCAGGGCCTGCTGGTCCCAACCGCGTGTCCCAAGGCCAGGCGCCACTGCCTAACGTTGCTTTCTGAAGCCCTTAGAAAACTAGCTCTGGAAGCTGCCGGCTGACACTTTTGCCGGGCGCATGCGAAACAGCGAAACAGCAGGGCCCTGAGGGACGGACCGGGCCTCCGGGCAACGGCCCCCACTGCCTAACGTCACTTTCTGACCCTAAAGAAAATCTAGCTGTCTTCCAGCCGCCGCAGCTCACAAACGGCGCATCCGTTTCTTTCTGAAGCCCTTAGAAAAGTAGCTCTGGAAGCTGCCGACTGCCACCTTTGCCGGACGCATGCGAAACAGCGAAACAGCAGGGCCCTGAGGGACGGACCGGGCCTCCGGGCAACGGCCCCCAGTGCCTAACGTCACTTTCTGACCCTACAAGAAAATCTAGCTGTCTTCCAGCCGCCGCAGCTCACAAACGGCGCATCCGTTGCTTTCTGAAGCCCTTAGCAAAGTAGCTCTGGAAGCTGCCGACTGCCACCTTTGCCGGGCGCATGCGAAACAGCGAAACAGCAGGGCCTGCTGGTTCCAACCGCGTGTCCCAAGGCCAGGCGCCACTGCCTAACGTTGCTTTCTGAAGCCCTTAGAAAACTAGCTCTGGAAGCTGCCGGCTGCCACTTTTGCCGGGCGCATGCGAAACAGCGAAGCAGCAGGGCCCTGAGGGACGGACCGGGCCTCCGGGCAACGGCCCCCACTGCCTAACGTCACTTTCTGACCCTACAAGAAAATCTAGCTGTCGTCCAGCCGCCGCAGCTCACAAACGGCGCATCCGTTGCTTTCTGAAGCCCTTAGAAAAGTAGCTCTGGAAGCTGCCGACTGCCACCTTTGCCGGGCGCATGCGAAACAGCGAAACAGCATTCTGTCTGTCTGTCTGTCTGTCTGTGTCTGTCTGTATCTGTCTGTATCTGTCTGTATCTGTCTGTATCTGTCTGTATCTGTCTATCTGTCTGTATCTGTCTGTCTGTCTATCTGTCTGTCTGTCTATCTGTCTGTCTGTCTATCTGTCTGCCTGTCTCTCTGTCTCTCTCTCTCTCTCTCTGTCTCTCTCTGTCTCTCTGTCTCTATCTGTCTGTCTCTGTCTGTCTGTCTCTCTGTCTCTGTCTGTCTCTGTCTGTCTCTATCTGTCTCTGTCTGTCCCTTGAGCATTCTTCAGGGCAGGCCTTCTCCAGCGCGCTCCCCCAGCATCCGGCTGGGGTCGGCGGATTTAACATAGCAATGGAAAATCACCATGTTTAATGGGTACACCTCTATAAATGGGCCATCTATACCATGGCTATGTTAGTCATAACCAGAGAGTATACCAAATCCACATGCCTGTCAGACTCCTCGATCTCAGGAGATCGAGGAGGCGCTGTCTCAAGGTCGGGTATCCTGGGATATCCTGGGTATCATCGCACCAAATGTGTGAAAAATTGGCCCGTTCTCTAGGTCAATCTTACATGGATACAAACTAATCCTAACTAGTCTTTTGGTATCAATGGGAATATCTACGTTCACCAGCAAAGAATTTGTCATTTTTTGCAGGGTATCTGGCTGATTGGCAATGTTTATAGGGGATGATGAAATTTGTCATCAATAACTTCCGGGTTGGGATCTGGAGGCAGCTGGTTCCAGGATGGTTCACCCAACAAAACAATTACTGTTGGATAGGTTGATGATGTTTTTTTTAATGAAAACGTATGAAAACCATGGGACCAGAAAAATATGGATCTGAATGGGACCGGAAAAACGTGAGATACTCAGAGAATCTCAGAGACCCCGTTTTTTTTACAGGCTGAGAAGTGGATAAGAAGACTGATAACGATGGGTTCTCGTCACTTTGTGATGTCACCCCTTTTTTTCCCCGGGAGAAAACTGACCATCTACGGTAACAATGTTCTTAGTTGCCATTCCTGGAATGAACATCTAGGTCTGGGTTTTTGGACAGGCTGGGAGAGACCAAAAAAAAGACGACATAGATGTTCATTCTGATCGTACAAGAACAGAGAACTGAAACAACCAGAAGACACAAATCCCCTCTGGTAAACGTTTACATATATGGAACATCACCATTTTTTATGGGAAAATTAACTGTAAATGACATTTTTTTTCTATAGTTATGTTAGTTTACCAGAGGGTATTGCCAAGAATTTTCTCGCCATCATTCCAGAGACGACAGCGCTTGCTTTTCACGCAATTCATGTGGTGAGTTGGCAAGAAAATGGTGGGTTTGTCTGGACACAGTGATCCATCCATTGGTTCATCGTTTTCCCTATTCAAGATCATCACTTTGGGACTTTACAATGCCACATTTACGGAAGTCCACTTCCTATGGTTTTTTGTTGGCTAGATACTATGTGTGATGCATTCCATCACTTAAATCTCAATGATGTCCCAGTGCTGGTAATTTTTCACATCCGAAAACGACCAGGTGTTCCACCAAGGCGGTCCCTAGGGTTCCCAACAGCACACAACGCAGGGGTTGGAACTCCAGACTCTAGCACCCTGGCGCGCTTTCTCAACAGGCAATGGCAGATCTGTGGTGATTTCCGAAGTGTTGTTGGTGGTTTTCAATAGTTGTTCTATCATGTGTTTAATGTGGGTAAAACAATAATAAACCATCCCCCAAATCACAATTTTTTTAGGTGGTATATGGTGGTATAAACCATTCCCAAATGGGTGGTTTGATATTGCTTTACCCAAATTATTCCATTTTAAATAATTAGGCATAAAAAAACGGGATACTAATACAATGGGGATATGATACAATCAACGGTTTGCTGTCGGTTGGTCCCCGATGACTTGTTCAGATTTCGTTGATTGGCAATCCAGATGTTTGGTGTAGGAACATATTGTCGACGTGGGAATGCAAAAATTGTTGGCAAGAATATGTATAGCTTAACATAGCTATTGAGAAAGACCACCTCAAAAATAGGTAAATCATACTTAACATCGGGATTGCCAATCAGTTTAAATTGCTATGGACCCTTTAGTTACGTCTTACTTGTAAATCATCGTAAATCATCAGTGGTCCGTGGCTTCGCTATCTGAAATTGAGGGTAACTGAGATCCATAGATGGCCATTACCGAACAAATTGGAGCTACTTACTATATACTGTAAGGTGCCTATGTTTCAGGGCTTCATTTTCGGGGATTTGCCCCTCAAGTTATATAATTTTGATATGCTACCTGGTAGCTCCATTTCAAGGTCCTAAAATTTCCATCGGAAGGCGTTCACCCGCGCCTAGCACTGCGGGCACTCCCAGGTGCACTCCCAGGGTGTTGGACATGTGGGGTGGATATCAGCAATTGCTATGTATAGATGTAAGGTGGCGCCGTTTTTCCCTTGTTTGTTGGTTTATAAAGCAAATAAATTACGATGATGTTACCCATATAGGATCCATGGTGCTGGTATATATGCTAACATGACTGGGGTATATTGATGGGATCCATGTTACCATATATAGCATACATAGATCCTATGGGATTACAGGGAATGTTCTCTACTTGGTGGTTCATCCTGGTTAGTAAGTAGGTTATAATCCTGGTTATAAATGGGCTAAGTAGGGTTAATCCACTTATGACTGGGGTTATAACCCACTTACTAACTGGGATGGACCACTTATCTCTACCACAAGCTCCAACTAGTTGTTGGAATTAGAAACCAACGAGTCACGTTTGGGAGCCCCACCGGAGGTACGAAGATATTTTTCTGCGGGGCGGGGCGAGGTGAGGTCAGGTGATGTATACATCCAGGTATTTGAAATACAAAAAACAATGGAAAATGCCTATAGAAAGTTCGTTGATTTACCCAGCTATAAAATGGTGATGTTCTATATAGTTATGTCAAATTACCAGAGGGTATTTGAAAGACCCCTTTTTGTTGGGGATATTGGGGGTACCCTTGGATGGGCATTGCGGCATGACCTGAAGTCGCGAAACTTGGAATGAATCAGGTTTTTCTTTGCTGCATATTCATGATTCATGACCCACCCGGTCACCCATTTCTGTGTTTCCAATGTTGTTGTATTTGTGTATGTTCTTGGTTTAATATAGTCACCATG